GAAGGCATGCAATTTTGCAATTCTGTACAAATATTTATCTATGTTTTAACCGGTATGTAGTGATTTATATACATTATTATCCTCGATACTAATAAAATTATAAACAATTATAAAATTATAAACAAATTTTGTGCAGCGTTAAACGAGAGTTTGCTTGCATGATTACTACAATTCCGAACGTTGTAGGTTTCAAAAACCAAAGTGGCGGATAAATAATTAAACTATAATTTCGTAGCTATTGTCCTTACCACAATAGAGAATAAACATTTATTTTTTACAAAAGGGCACGACCAAAGAAAGAAAAGTCAATTTTGGCCAGTTCTTTTCAGCTTTGGGAGTCCGAAATAATTTTTTGTCGTTCTCGATTTTCAAAAGCCCAAAACGTCCGGAATCGTGGTTATCAACCTTTCACGTTTAGTGCCAACAAAATTATTTATAACTTTATTAATATTAAAGATGATAATACATAGAAATTACTGCATATAGCTAAAACATAGATAAATGTTTACGCAAAACTTCAGAATTGCACGTCTCACAGTTTTGCAGAAAAAATTCCTGAAAATCGCCTACCGAACGAAACGTCCCAAATGAGAATACCCCTTTGAGGGCACTATCCTCAGGATAGCGTGAAAATTTCGACCGGGAAAGGATGCCGGGAATGTTTTGATAGAATTTCCACACATTTTTCATGATACTCTTCTCTCACGACTCTTTCCGAACGTTATCGCGTTATCGCGTCGGATAAAATCGGCCTTTGCTGGATTTTCCCGCAGGAAAATCTCTCTCGGTAACTGTAAACGCGCCTATCCGAGGGAGGCCTTTAAAATCGCGACATACGAAACGAAATTTCAGCTGTCGGTCATTCTCACGCGGCGGACGAATCCTTGGCATCCGGGGTCCTGCGGTGCCGGCGAAGCATCGCTTATTATACGACGCTCGAGAGTCATGCTATGCGAACGCCGGCATCGCGATCGCATGCAGAATGCCTCACGACAATCTCAGGGAGCACCGGAGAGTCCGAATTGCCGACATTGTAAACACGCCTGTTAAGCCGCGCGTATGCGAGTCAAGAATGAGGCGAGCGAGCGGCGCGCAACGCCGGGCGCGCGGCTTGACGCCCTTAATCTCGCGCGCGTCGTCGGCATATCCCGCCGATATTTCGATACCGGCACGAAGTATCGTTACTTCGGCTCAGCCGCCCGCGTGTAAGCTGGCTATCGATATGTCGCATCGAATGCACCCGAGCAATTCTGATCCGAATAATTTATTCCCGAAGAGATTCTCATCCGCCGTCGTTGGATGTGTCATCGGCGAGACCGGTGTCTCGATGAAACGAAGGCCACGTTGAGCACAGCTCTCGTCAAGAACAGAACGCCCTCGGACTTATTTTCGAGACGTTCGAGAGCCCCATCTCCTCCGTGATTTCGTATTACAAAGCGAACGCTGGTACGTGTGTGTGTCCGCTGTGAAGTCCTTCAGGATCTGCTGCAGGAGACACCTCTTGAGATCATGCGAGTTTTCAAGAGCTCTGCCAAACAGAAAAAGAAAGAGACGCTCTGCTTCTTGAGATTCTGCTTGCCTAAAGTACTTTGCGGTGCTCGAAAACAGAATCGACATATTTCTCATACACTGCGCGGGGCGTCTTGCGAGGGCGGTCACTACCGAAAGGTTCCATTTTGCGTCTCGTCGTTGAAGATAACAATGTAAAGATAGGTATTCGTGTAAAAATTGCAGTTACTTAACTCAGGAGGGTCACGTCGAAGATGAAACGGTCAAGTAGTAAGCCGTCAACTAGTAGAGTCTTTGCCCGATGATGCGATTAATATTACAGCGGCATCGTCGATTACCCGATTAGTGTCGCTTTGATAGTCACGTCCCTCGACGGCTCGTGATTATTGAATATTTAACGCCTCTCGTCTGACGTTTGACCCGCTCCGAGCCCGTAACAGCTCGATCGTGCAATCGAACGGCGCTCGGTTTGAGCCTTTGTTCTGAGATTTAGTGCTATTGAGAGCCCCCTCTGGAATGCATCGTCCGTAATATTCCACTTCGGATTCCCCGTTTGCAATTCCCGCGTGCCCTTAGCGCACTTAAACACTGAGATGTACCTACTGAGCAAAGGTATGCCCCGCTCAATCCCATCCTCGTCACAGTCTCGCCGTTCGTCCGATAATACCCTTGCAAATCATATGTATTGAGAGAAAAAACTAGAGTAACTCTACGATCTCACATGGATCTATCATTTTTTAACTATACTATTATATTTCCAGATATCATACATTTTTCTCTCAGTGTAAAATGTCACGTCTCATGTCGTGAAGCGACGTTTATTTTCGTAATTTTTCGTGAAAATTCCGAAGCGAATTACACGGTATCAGTCCGTTTTGTTATAATATTATCTTACATCAGCGTTATAAATCATAAACGCTACGGTAACGCGGTGCAAGTAACGATGAGGAAGGGATAATTCAATTGGATCACCGGGGATCTTTTTTTCCTCGCGATTTTCCTCTTTTGATGGAAATAAAAAGAGGCTCCCGCCTAACTCCTCGATGTATCATCAATCACGTAACTCGGTCGCCAAGGATTTTCGGCGCCAGAAAGAGGGGTAGATGAGGCGATTTTCATCGTCATCCTCGTCACACGCGGAAGACATTTTTTTTCCACGCGCCGACACCCGCCGATGCGTGAAACGAACCGTATATGAAAGAAGGCACATCGTAAGAAGACTATCTCGAAGGACTATAATATTGTCTTCCTCCGTCCTTCGGGACATACCAAAGGCGACGGAGTAACGATGCGAGAGGAGATTGATGTAATCGTGCGTAGATTACCCTGATATCTTCGGTGACACTGACGGAAAATATTCAAGAGGGTGTCGATGTGTTCATTTAGCAAAAATGTTGTTGCCCGTAATATTTCATAGATTTCCAGAAACCTGGCTTTTTTCCGCATGAAATGTTTTTCGAGTTAAGATGAAAAATGCTGTTGGCAATCTTTCTCTCGGTGTCTCCAACGGAAACGATGATATTAGAAAATTATATTTTAGCATATATACCAAAAAAGGTGCTATCTCTGAAGTAATATTTATTTGCTTCTTGATTATACATGATATGAGCATAGATAAATATTTACGCAAAACTTCAGAATTGTACGTCTTACAGTTTTTCAGAAAAAATTTCTGAAAATCGCCTACCGAACGAAACGTCTCAAATGAGAACACCCCCTTTGAGGGCATTATCCTCAGGATAGCGTCAAAATTTCGACCGGGAAAGGATATTCGTATAAATAAATATTTATTTACAAATGTTAAAACAATTACAACAAAATATTAAATTCATAATATTGTGAATATCAGAATTTATTTTTGGAAAATATGTATTGGACAGAAAAATCTGAATTCAAAATCACTAGGTTTCTTCAATGGAAAAGAAGTATTACATAATTTTAATAAATAATGCTCCCTTAAATTTAGAACCATTTTATATACAGTAACTTATTTATAAATTAAAATATTATTGCGTTCAAGTATTTATGACAGGCTATTGAAATATACTTAAATTGATAAAAATATTACTTGATTTAAGGGATTGAAAAAAAAAACAGGGTAATTATATTTTGATTCACCACTGAACTTTGAACTAATTGGTATTAACGATCATCAGTAAACTTTTGTTAGAACGAAATTAATTCAATGCGAAATTTCGTCGTAATAAATCCAATGGAAGAACCTGTTTGCTCATTATCAACCATCGAAATCAATTAATCATGTCTCTTGCTTTTATCTATTTTCTTCATTATTTGGTTGACCTTTCCTTTCCATTGTAAGCTGATAGCAATCATAATAAAGTTTCGATTTCACACGGTACCAGTAATCGTCTACGAAACATGTTAAGCTTGGCCACACGTAACGGAAACTAGCGGCGAACTCGACCAATATTTTCTGAAAAGCCTCCGGGATTTGCAGACGGATCATCTTTCGGGTGCTTTATGCTCGTGAGAGTAGAAAAGAACCGCGGAAGTTCCGGTTGGTAGATATTTCCTGATCTAAAAGGGGAACGTGCCGCAGCGATGTACACGACGATTTGTATTTATTGCTCTTGCTTTACAATTTACATACCGTTGTTTTTTAAATGTGTGTCAACAATAATCAATATTGTTGTTACCAATGTTATAATTCAATTACTATTGTTTGAAGCCCTTTTACGAAAATAGCTTATAAACTCGTGGGTAATTGTGATCCTCGTTGAGTAATTATAGCCACTGGTTCCATTTGGTGATTGTTTAATTTTGGCTTTAATTAAAAAGCTGCCTTTTCACTAAATTGAATATTTCCGTAATATTAACTGTTGCCTTCATCACATTTTATGTGTATATTTTAGAAACGAAAATTAATGTTATAATATGAAACAACGTAATAAAATATGTGTATATATTTATTACAAATCAGATAGAATTATTTTCACATCATTGACCAGCTAACAGTTTGAGGATGTAGCCATGTAGTCCGGTATGGTCTAGTGGCTAGGATACCTGGCTTTCACCCAGGAGGCTCGGGTTCGATTCCCGGTACCGGAATTTTTTTTACGACAAAGTTAACTTTTTGTTATATTTATCGTAACATTTACATTACCTAGTAACAATTGATAAAAACTTCAAAGCGGTCAACATATAATTAATATTAATTCAGTTAAAATTTAGCATAATAATCATAAACTCTGGGAAGAGAATATATATATGTGTTTGATGAAAGAGAATATATATATGTATTTCTTTTTTTTATTTAAAGATGTGGAATTTGATTGCGCGAAGTAAAACTATATTTATTTGATTTTGCGTTAAATATTAGTTAGCAATTTAATTAGCAACATTATCTTCCTTCGCTATTGTGGCTCTTCATCTTGCACCCGCAGATTAGGAAATTACGTGCATTTTATCGTCGCAAATACCGTAAAATTATGATTTGAGATGCGCAATGAAATACATAATTTGCAACTTACTTGAAAGAAATAGGTCCTGGAGGGCCTGGGCAGCCTGGCAGAGGAGAGCCCAAGTTTCTGCAGCAGCGAGTCCTGTGCCTCGCAGAGCAAGAACATCTCCTGCCACTACCGCGAGTCCTGGACCCCCGGTCCCGTCCGTCGGCATTCTGCTAACAGAAAGAAACATTTCTGCATAATCTTTCATTAATTACTCACTAATGAAAAACTTAATCGCTCGATATCTGTACGCGTATATTTTCCTTCTTAAGGAGAAGCCATGGTCGATGATGAACTTGATAAACGTCGATAACGTAGAGTGATTCTCAAAATCGTGTTATGTTACATAAACATTGACACGAATACGCTACTCTTTTTGTGTTTTTCGTACGTATAGATCTTACATAAATGTAATTGCGATATAAATGTAAATGCGATGAATGTGTTCTATTCAATTTTACCATATCTAATAGAAAATCTAATTCAAATATATAAAATTTGTTTTTCAAACTTTTATCATATCTTCCTTTTAAATTTAATTTAAAAAAGCATAAAAATGTTCTTTGAAATTTTCCTAATCGAAGCACTCGGTATGTACAAGGATTTTTGTATCATGTAAATATTTCGATGTGGCTTCCGAATTGGCGCCGTGTCTTTCGAAGATTTATATCCGGCGTTTCGTAAACATTTCAGTTCACTTCTTCAGAGTGAGGGTCGATTTGAAACTATTTCGAGTCGATTCTCACCCTGAAGAAGTGAACTGAAATGTTTACGAAACGCCGGATATATATCTTCGAAAGACACGGCGCCAATTCGGAAGCCATATCGAACGTTTATTCATTCCGCGAAAGTTTAAAATCTCACATGTAAATATTTACTGCTAACTGACAGCTTAAGATGCCACTTTGAAATTGCTAATCATTTTTCCATATTGAGCAATGCTTCAATTCGCTCATATTTTCACCGTATAAAAGCATTCGTAATTCTTTGCGACCAATAAATACGTAAACCTTGCAGAAAAATCAGTATTCTACAGTATTCAGTGGAGTTTTCATGTATGGCGTCTTCTACGCAGGATTGAGACGGCCAATGTTCACAACAACACGACGAGATTAAGGTAACGGATTGTCGGGTGGAAATTTCGAGACCGCAGCGACACTGTTTTACTTCGCCTTACAGGATGAACACGCGCAGGATCAGAGGAACGACACGGAGGCAACGTGTTCCCGTTAGTCCGTCGCGAATAAACAAATGCAAACAAGCCGGAGCGTGCATATTGAAGGTATCGGGCTTGTTGTTTGCTCAGTCCCGTTTATATTAGCCCCTTTGTTCAGCATGTCGTCGTGATATGATATACTAGCGAGCTAAGAACTATTTTGCAAAGGTTATTCGGCTCCCTTCATTTCCTTGACGGCATCACATGTTGCTCGAACGGGGTTACGCGCGCGTGAGAACTTTTTTTCTCGTGTCTGAAACTACATTTATTGCGCGTCCTAGCGTTATTTCTATCGCAGCGAAACGCGAAAGCTTTGCCTTCTCTCGTTATTGGAGCTCGATTCAAATACTTTTCTGATAAAATCGATCTGTACGCTCGAAAAAAAAAAAAATCGAATATACTTTGCACGTGTAATTTTTCAGGAATTTTATCTCGCGTCGCGTTATGTTTCTATAAGCTTCTTGAAAATTATCTGGAAAAATTGCTGTCGCGCGCACGCTGCTGGCCGGAGCATCGGCCTTACATCTCTCCCCGGCTTTTATTTTCTGCAGTTGTTCTTCCGCCGAGAACAAGCAAACGAGATCAAGATGTGCGCGCTGGTTTATACAGCGTCAATCGAAAATCCCGAATTACACGATAGATCCATTTTTAATCAAACACACTCGCACGCGCGACAACCCGATCCTTTTTCGTCCGTGTAAATCTGGCATTCGCGAATCTCGACGTCATATGCACATTCCGAGGAATAATCAAGAGGATATACCGTCGTCAGGGAAAACAATAGATGTCAGCCCTGTTTTCAGCAGCTCTTCTCCGCGACTGCTCTTTCAAGCAAAGTAACGCCGGCTATCGTTATCTGCCCTTATTCTCGCTGATTCCTCTGAACCAACCACGTTATGGGCTCTGCGTTCGTACCACGTGTTCGAATAATTAAAATTAAAATGTTGATGAAGAAAATCCACAATGACCGGCCAGTCAGACTGCTTTTTTTCCGTGTAGAATTCGTCACTTAAAAGTGGAGATATTAAGGGGGGCCGTAACACCTACAAAAGTCATAATACTATTTTTTCCTTTATATTCATTATAGTTAGATTAACGATAATTTGAGCAAGTCTTCAATTAATTACTAATTTTCTCAAAAAATGAGGATTGTCCACTATTCTGACGACCGTACATTCTCTCCCAATAAGATAAATGTTTACATATTATATCGAGAAGTCCGATAAACGGCGAGTACGCGCATACAAGTTTCAGATAATCGGGTTTCCCGCGAAACTAGATTCCAGATAGTCCGGAGTCGATATTCCATCTCGTGGGCGCGTTTCGGTCTTCTGCACTTTCTCAGCTCTCGCGGCTGCCTCCAACTTAGTCAGCTGCGATTGTCCTCTCTATTATGCGGCGATCACGGCCGCGAGGTTTCCACCTGAACGAAAACGCTTTTCTTCGTTTTCCGGGGGCACAGCTGCCGGCAACTTCGGCGTCGAGATCTTGATATCGAACTTCACGAAGGCTAACCGGTTAATAACGAAATTAATTGAAGCCGCAAACTGTCGAAGTAGCTTGTATTATCAATTGCTAATGAGTTGTATTATTTCGTGACATTCGGTGAGAATACTTTGAAGTTTCTTGAAACGATAAGTCCATGTAGGAGGCAACGAAATGTCACGGCCAGGGACCATTCAACAATTATGTCATGCGAAATCCGATTTATCGAAGTATTTTTTACGTCCCCCCTCCCCTTCTTCGCCACATTTTGTCACAAAGGATCCTTTTTCAATATTATGTGGAATTATCTTTCCCGTCCCCACATTACGTTGCCAGATTTCTTTAAATCCAGCACGTGCGCCGAAGATTTAATGTGACATTCCATGGCCTTTACTTCCCCTCCCCCTCTCTGTCATCACAGTCGTCACACAAGCTAATGAACCCCGTCTCCCTTCTCGTGACGTAATTGTTACTTAAAAATTCTGTTTCATTCAACCGAAACGCGTTTGACACTTTCATCGTCACTAATTCAAGCAATTTTTCTTCTGCATGTGTTATTTGGTTTTTCGTCCGATCGTGTCTTTACCGAGCGGCACTGTGTAAAATTTCTTGGACAACTGCGATCCGTTCGCGCGACTTTAATTGCGTAATCAACTCCGTGGCACGAGAACTGTCAGTTTATGGCATGTTCGACATTATTTGATCAGGCGTGATCGCCCGTTCCACTGACATATACGACGAGAGAGGTTATCGCCAGCCAGAAATTTCGATCACGTTTCCCGCGCACATCGCGCCAGCGTTATTTACAAGCGATACTATTAATGAACTTGTAAATTGAACTTGCAATCTCGATCTGCGATTTTTCTCGGAAATTAAGGGAATATATATCACTTGAAAACTTGGCTGGCTGAATATTGACTTTTATAAAGTTTACATCATGTTGGTCTCACAGAATTACAAAGGCCTTTGTACGGTGAAAGTTCGCGCGAAGATGAATTAGAGTATTATTACAGTATGTGGCGAAACTGATCGAAAATTTCAAAGTGACATCTCTAGCCGTCAGTTAGCGTAAATATAACAATAGTATTAATAATAATAATATTTTCGTTATTGAACATTAATGATTATATGTGCAGAATCTAAAAGTATGGAGACGTTGAGATCCATCGAGCGAATTCACGTGGAAGACATGTATTTTTCAAATATTACACGTGCAACGGCGGCTGCATGAAAGAAGCAAGACTGCTTAAATTCGAGAAATTTCAATTATGAAAAACATCCATTTCATCTGCAATAACCTAACATATTATATACACTCAGTCTTAAAGGGACTCGTCGCGATTGCACGATGCAACGCAATGTTGTGATCTATGACGTGATAAATATTACAATAAGTCTTTCGCCCCGCACGATACACTTCGCAATTGTGATCTGTCCGATTTGACAACTGCACGTCTATCGTGTATCATCGTTCGACTGTTTCCAGTCAATGAACCCGCCGTTGTCGTGCAATATATCGACTCGCGCGATGATGGATATACACAGTTCGCACATCCTGCAGTTCAAAGGGTCGCACTATGACAGCGGGATTTATAGTGGATATTGCCGTGCGTGCCGTTCTCTTTGCGACATTTTTGTTTTTATTAATCATGCACGATATTGTGTTACCTGTTATCCAGTACCATGGCCAGCAATAACGCGGCTTTCACGATTTGCTTCTGCGTAATTCTTTGATTCGGTCCACCCGTCTTTTTTTCCATTCTCATTTGCTTCTCGTCCGCATTCGTCGAAAAGTCACAAGGAGTCGTTCAATTTCTTTCGGCCTTTATCATTAATATCACCGTTTGCCCCTCCGCGGTGTGTAGCAGCCTTGATTTTTTCCGGCGACGAAAGGGCGAGGAAACTTCGCGGAAATATTAATTTTCTGCGACAAATACCCCGTGCGGAACCAAGCGACCATTTTCCGTGAAGTCGGCGGGCGATAAAGGAGAACGTCGGCAGTAATTAAAGAGCCAATTCGAATGACAGTGCCGAAATCTCCGTTGTTGCTGGACGTCCAACGAGCGCGCGCAAACGGTCGTGATGAAAAGTCAACTTGAAATTCAGCGAAGTCTCTTACATAAGTCGCATCTCTTCCTGGCCACATCACCACCCCTCTTTTCTTCTTCGACTCATTATGCAGTATCGCCACATTTTTACAAACAACTTTCCTAAGCAAAAAATATTCCGTAACTTTGAGGCTGGAATCGATTGAATAACGCGTTGGTGAATGCAATCGTGAGGTTTTCAATGTAAAATATATATTAATTATTAACAAAAATGGAATGTATAAAATGTAAATTGGAAGCCATAACATCACCTTTTCCTCTGTACATTTTCCAATTATTTATTTTAAATTAAAAACACCGAGGCAAATGTCATGACATATGATTCTGAAAAGTATACGTGACAATTCTATTCACGATGCGTGCTCCTTCTTTGTTTTTCATTATCAATGTTACACACACATACTGCAAAATTGTAATTTCAAACGTACGCTGCTCCCCGGCCGGACTTATTTTACGTCACTTCTGGCTGTGTTCCACCTATTAGGTCGCTCCCTCGGAGTACAATGGGCAAACGTGCAACCATTTATCCCGCAACTCGGTCACCTTTTATGCGGCGCCCAAAGCAGAACGGCATTCAACTTGAATTACGCAATATCTGAATTTGCGCGCGCCGCAAAGAGGCCGATTCGAATGGTTTTGACAGGCTCCGATACTTCGCGCAAGACCCCGCCGGTCATCTGATCAGACGCGCATCGGAGGTTCCATTTGTCGTAACGTTTCGCCGGTTAGCGTTGTAATCGTCGATTATTCGACATTACCGTTCCACTGAATCGCGCGTTTTTCCGCGTCAGGGGAGCGTTTGCTGGCGACAGGTGGGAACGATAACGTTAATGCGTGTGTTACGTTGCGATCGCGGAGAGGACGGGACATCGTTTAATTAGAGGACAATCAGTTAACGTTGATGCGACGGAGGGGAAAGCGCCGGTGAATCCGGGGAGAGGAGAGGAAGCCGTCCCGATTCCGCGCAATCAAGGCGCGAATCAAATTGCACCGCGGGAGCGGCGGGCGAGTTCCACCCCAATCGAATAAACATTGTGCGCGAACGGACGCGGGCGAGATTTTTGGCCCCCGCCTTTTCGGAACGTCCACCGAGACGATTTAATCGAGATAACCGCCGAGAATCACCTCTCAGGTTCTCCCTCTCACGAATGCCGAATAATACCGGCTTCGGGAGCTATTTTCGCGCGCGCGCTCGGTTTATCGACTATTCATGAATGAAAGACCTCGGTCGATATTCGCCGTGGAACACCTCTCTCGCATAATCAGCTCCCCCTCCCGTGCGCATACCTACCTTACACATTGTCGATCGGTGCGTCATAGCGCGGCGGCGTTCGCGCCGTGATGATCTCGTGCGGTGCGAAGGCGTGCGCCCGAGTACCCGGCAGGTAGTACACGAGGCAGGAGACTCCGACGAGGAACAGGAAAAACAGGAACACGAGGTCGAACATCAGCAGGGAGTTCAAGGTCATCAGCTGCATCGTGCGCGTGCTACTCGCTTCACCATTACACGCGTACACCCACGCACACCGACTCGTCTCTCTCTCCCCCCCTCACTATCTATATATCTATCTTTGTATTCTCTGTCTTTCTTCCTTTACGTCTGGACGTTCGATGTCTTCGCTCCGGCGAAACTTTTTACTTCGAGCTTCGAGCACGTTGCGTAACTTCGATAGAAGCGATTTCCAGGGCGTGCGGACATAGCGATCGGCGAGTTTCGCGCGGCCGTTATTCGCGGGGGAGGGAGGGGAAAAGACACGTTTATACGTCGCGTTTTCGCGGAATTAACGCGAAGGGAACGCGCCTGTACATAAGTGAGCATACGTGTTTTCGCAAAATTTACATTAGTTAGTTGTGTGATCATGACTCGTGATCGTATCTGCGCGCGCGGACAAAGTGTTACGATTCGATTGAGTTTAGCCGTTGTCGGGCCGCACTCGTGCCGTTAAAACATCTGACACGACACAACACAGCGCTTTCGCGTAATGGCGTTTTTAATACAAAGAACGCAATCAGCGGATAATGGGAAATACACCGTAACGGTAGAGATACAAGCGGAGACGAAAATAACAGAACGCTCTCTCTCTCTCTCTCTCTCTTTCTTCCATCCCCTCCCCCCCTTTTTATCTCGCCCTTTATTTCTTCTTTATCAAACACAGATGGAATCCGAAATTTGATCGAAACGTTAGACGGCGAGAGACAGTGTCGCGTGGCTACCGAAATAATTGGATTTCCCACGTATTATTATCGAAAGTTACCGAAAGCAGCCCCGCGCTGGGATATCGGAGCATTGGACGCATATTACGCCGGCAGGAATGCGCGTGCCCGATATCGGCGATTATGGATAGTACTTTCGCTCCGAAATGAACGCCGGAATAATTGGCCTCATTATCGATTCCATTTATCTACGGCGCCGTAACGACGTTCGAATTGCGACGCGCGTCCCGCCGATGGTATTATCATTGATTCCTTTGATTCACACGCAGAATCCGCGCGCGATCGGCTTTATTCCCTGTCGCCAAAGTCGCGTGACGATACTCCGAGTGATTGCGAATGCGGCGGTAATTCGTTTAACAAAGAAGGCGCGCATAGCTGTCAAATGAGTTAAAGGGAAGTTGCTAATTCGTTCGACAAAATCGAATATTTTTATTTTGCACTTCGGTCATCTTTTTGTAGTTTTAAGAATGTAGCCCCTCAGGTAGAACGGGCATAATCGCTTAGGACAAATGCGAACTTATGTTAACTAAGCGACAGCTTATGTTTAATCGGTTATATTCTCTTTTATTATACCCGCAAGACATAATAAAACTAAATTTTTCTAAAGATAATAGAAAATGCACAAACATATGTGTAAAACGTCAACGCTCTAAGTACTTACATTTTACAGAGAAAAACTCTTAAAAATAACCTTAAACTCAACCGTCTAAGATAGAAACTTCCTGAATCCATAATGAGATGTTTTAGATGGCAAAAAAGTGTGTGAGATTTTCTCGATTGATCGATCAGCTGCAACAGCATTTCATGTCGCGTTTACGAGTGCAGGGACTCCTGTTTCCTATTTTTCCGGCAAAATTTCACCGTTTCCTTCTTTCCGACAAAATTTCAAATCGTCACGGATTTTCGAATCGTGACGGATTTTGATTGGTAATTCTACTTTCGTCGGACGGTGATCAGTGATTTTGTGTTTGGCGAAACGTGTCTTTGACAGCGTCTCCCTCTCTCATCGATCGGGACGCGACCGCACTTCCGTGTGCGATACACAAGCTCTATCTCCAAGTAATTGCAGCTATGACCCCTCGAAAAATATTGGCAAGTCGAAGCAGCGCTCGAGGGCATACTGGTTCAACCGATGCGAAGCCGGCGGAGACGAAGGAATAGCGGCCCGATCTTTCCTGGCGTAATAACCACGAGCCATTGATTGCAACGCTGTCGCAAACGACAGAAAGAGGAGCATTTTAACCGTAGGCCACTACCGGCAGGTCGATCGATCGACGATTAGTTATGTCTAGGGTTTAGGACACCGTTCGGCACATCGAGGTCTTCCCATTGGAGGACGACAGATTATATTCAAAGAGATAGATTACGTAACGGTGATCGCAGAGTGCATAGCTGCGGAACTGAAGCAACGTTGAGTGATTTATGCGAAGAAGAGTTGATCGATATAAAATCTACACCGGAAAAATAAGATCGGTTGAATTAATTTGAATTACGGATACATTAATCAGACCGTTTGTGGCAGAACATAAACGATCTATAATTTTTATTTGGGTAACAAATCTGATTAGAAGCGCTTTGTTTAAAATAACCAGTCGAATTTGGCTACACACGATAGTAACGAAATTATTTTTTCGACTAGAAATTTTATTACTTGTTTTTTAAAATGTTAGAGAGAGAGAGAGAGAGAATACGATGTTTGGTTTTGTACGCAGTTCCGCTGAATCGATCATCGGATGAGCATTCGCGGACGAAAGAGTGCTCGGACGGTATCGTCTTTCTTTCTTTCTCTCTCTCTCTCTCTCTCTCTCTCTTTTGACAAGTGGTCGAGTGATTTTCCAGTCACGCAAATTTTCCAGTGTCCGCCGGCCCGTTCAATGGATCTCGCCAATGCGTCGACTACCGGCGGAAATTTACGGGATGACATAATTTCCGCGCGACTCGGCGCGCCCAAAAGGCGAGGCTCATCCTCGCGTCATTCGTTTCGCAGTCGTCGTCGAACGGCCGCGAAAATTCGTGAACGATCGAACACGGAAACGCGATAGGATCTTGCGGATCGATACGTCACCTTGAGTTTCCCGCTCGTAATGCATGTAACGGACATGAGAAATTCGTACGTTTCGAAATATTTGCGGAAGAAATGTGCGCACCGAGTTCTTGTTTTCAGTCCTCTGTTATTACAGTCAACATGGTCCGATCATCTCCGCGCTCGATTCGAAATGTTTTCACATTGTCGGTTTTGTCACCCAGTCGCCGTCGGATTGTGTTTGCGAAATAGAAACGAACGCGCTGCAAAAGGCCGAAACTGGATTCATGGACTTATCGTCCAGTTTTTAATCCCCTATTGTCACAATGAAATCGAATCCTCATCGTACCTTCGATAATTCACGGAAACGCTGACCGATTCAAGGGGGACTATCAGACGCTGAAAATAAATCGGCTTCTCTCTCTCCCAGCGCCGATCCGATGGCCGGCGGGAGGATGGTGATGAAAATTATTCCATCAACGGGCTTAACTTTTCTCCGGGTTGAATCCGCGTGGATCGCGGGAGTGCTTCTTAATTTGCCTCCGTCTCCTTCCGTCCGTCGTGTGAAAAGTTTCCAAGAGGTTTCTACCGTGTCGCGATCCTTCCGCGCGACCGCTAGTATTGCGCCCCGTGCTCGACGACAAGCAAGAAACGAAGACGGGGGACGTCATATGCGTTCGCCAGCTGTTGCGTGTTTTCAACGCTCGGGAGCATGACGCGCGCGTTTTATGCGGCATGTGTCCCGATAAATTGGACGCTGTTACGCGACGGAAGAGGGTGGCCGCC